AATTCTTCATAAGGTACTCATTTCAATACCAGCGTGTTCATTAGATCAAATGAGAGATTTTAGAAGTCCTACATACTTTGATATATTAAGTCGATATAAGAGAAATGTAAAACTGGAACTTTATGTGGTACTTTCACTTTAAGTCATCATATGATTCAATTACACTAGAAAGTTTTCGATACAATATAATATGTATGCAACTCACATTGTGCCTAGTCCAAAACCAAAGGCAGAACCTTAAGTTTCCTGGAGGTCTTAATTTTTTTTTTTTTTTTTAAGCAAACTTCCTTCTCATTCAAATAATGTAACTCTCAAGCAGCCACTTCTTATTGGTTCTAAGGAAACATCCATACCTCTGTATTCTTAGCCAGGCTAAGTAATTTTAGGCAGCTATTAAGATAACTTGATACAGTTGTAGCTGGCTCAGCCACAAGATGCTAGATGGCCTAGAGGCACCAAATGCTTAGGACTCAGGAATAAGGTCATCCGAGAAGTTAGCATATTCATACAGAAGAGTGAGCAATTATTGCTGAGGGTCGAGATGTTTCACAAACATCTCTACAGCTATGCCTTTAAACATGTTGCAGATGTAAGCTGCTATCCTAAGGGTAAATTTATATCATTAATTAGATCAGCATGTACATAATGTTGGAGTCCCTAGTGCTTGTATATAACTATTTGTCAGTAAGAATGGAAGAGCAATATCTAATTCAAATACTATGGGCCAACTACCATTGTCTCATATTGTACCAGAAACACACACGTTGAAAAGTTGCTGCAAATCCTTACTCCATGCAGCTCAACACTTACGTATAACTGAATGGAGATATAAGATGGACATACGGATGCCTGATTAACTCATGTGTAAGCTATGAAACATAAGCTACATACCCTTATAGGTTGTTATTTATGGAGCCATTGAATTAATATTTTAGATGGTTATCTTCATATTTTCTGGACATATTATATACCTAAGAATCAACTATTTCTATGATTAAATTTTAGAGTTATTATTCCATCATTCAGTTGATTCACTTATTAATTTAACAAATACTTATTGAGCACTCTTTTAGGTGCCAGAGGTACAGTGATAAAAAGGACTGACAACTCTTTTGATGTTATGGAGCTTGCCTTCTAGGAGGTTCGTTTTGTATAAAGTCTAGATGACAGACTGGTAGATATGGCGACTTCACGTGTATCCCCTTGAAAGTGTACGTGAGTGGCTTAACGTGCTGAACTATTCTATCTTCTACACTTATAACTACTTCCCCTTATATTTTTAATTTCTACTTCCTTACCCTCAGGTGTTCAGGGATGTCAAGAAAGCATCAAGTAATAGTGTTCCAAACCCAGCGGGAAAAACATAGCAATTGCATATTCTCAGACTTCATTTTACTCCCCTTGTCTTCAGCTTTTGGAATTTCTAATCATTTCCACTTTGAAAAATGTCTTCACTTAGCCTCCAAGATCTTACTTTCTCTTGGTTCGATTCCTACCAATAGACTTCTTCAAAGTTTTAATTGTTGCTTCCTCCTTATTTTCCTAACCTCTAAATATTGTAGTGATTAAGTTCTCACTCTTCAAATTTTTCCTCTTCTAACTCATTTCCTAGTGTCATCATTTAATATCGTGTCTTCAGTATCTCCTACTTGTTGAGGACTTCCAGATAGATATCTATTCTGGACCTACAAACATCTCTAGTTGGATGTCCAATGGACATCTTAAACTTAAAATATGAACCTAACTCCATGCCAGTGCATTTGCTTTCTGTTTCTTCTTGCTACATTTTTCCCAAGATAAATGCATGGCTGGCTACCTAACTTCCTTCAGATTTCTAAACAAATGTCACTTGCTTTAGGAAGCCTTCCCAGATCATCCTGTATAAAATAGCACCATTCCTACCCTCCCATCCCTGGTTGTATTCCCTGTCTTTGTTACCTGAATTTATACTTCTCCAAAACACTTATTACTAACTGACATATCATATATGTATGTACTTATTGTCTGTTTCCCCAGCTAAAATTAAGCTCCATGAAGCTGGGGGTTACTTCCTACTGTGTTATTAGTACACAGAACAGCACCTGGAAAGTAGCTGGAACTCAATAAATATTTATCAAATCAGTGATTGAATTTTTAAATAATCTCTTCTGTGGCTCTATCTACATATTTATCTACCTACCTACCTACCTACCTAATTTCTATGCTTTGCAAGCAAGCTGCACTGATTTGGGGTGGAAATGATGATTTTTCAAGGGTGGTATCAGAATGCTGTTTTGGATTTTAGAATGAAAGAAGTCCAGCCTCTTAGCCCTAAGAGACTTCGAAAGATAACATAGCTCTATTTCTTGTTCTATAGAGTGTGGCTTAGAAAGAAAAAGAGTTTTGACTAAGGTTACACAACTAATGAGAGGCAGAACCACTGTTAGAGCCCAGGCTTCATGCCTTTCCAGCCAGTGCTCTCCAACCAAACCCCTATTAGGAGGCATTGCTTCTCCTTGACTGCCCACAGCGGCCCAATCCTTTCTGGCATTATTTTAAAAGTGTCCTTAATGAAGATTACACACAGATAGAACTAGAGAAAAATCTGGTTTTATGAATAAAAATGTCACATATAGATAATTTCAGGGGAAAAAAGGAGAACATTTCTGGATACTTAAGACCTAAAACTTAATTCTGTTTGTGCAAAATGCCTAGTTTAAAACAAGGCAACATCCTAGGATATTAAGAAACGGATTTAATATCCCCTAACACATAGTTATACTTTCAGAGGTGGGGAAAAAATCCATGCAGGTAGGTTAGTGAGAAACAACCATATAAATAGAGCAAATAGCCTAAAAAAGTTTAAAAAATCAATTAAAATATTTCTTGACCCTGATGGTGTAGGTGCTGTAAGGGATAAAGCAAATTCAGTCTAAACACAGGATTTGATCTAAGGTTTTTCCCACACAAAGACACAAAGTAAAGAAGTTTGAATTCCATAAGAAGCAGTAGAGCATAGTGGTTACATATACTCTATTCTTTGGATTTGCATCTAACACTCCCTCCGCATAGATGTAATAACTTAATTGTGTTATTTAACTTCTACAGGCCTCAAACTGTTGATCTGTAAAACAGGACTAAATATCAACTATGGCATATAATTGTTATAAGAATCAAAATAGGTCATAAATCTAAATGATTTACACCCTGTGGCATCCATTTTAGAGTTCAAAATATTGTGGAATGGTACTAGTAAAATTTAACTAACTGCAATATATAATTTAAAATAATTTCTAAAATTTTTAAAAATAGTATTTATGAAAAATGATCTAAAATTTACCAAAATCACTTTTGTAGTTGATCATTTGCTGAGTTTTTCTAACACTTGGGGTACTTCATAAAATATGAACAATTTTCATTGATCAAGTCTATCAATTTTCTGTACTACATGAACTGAAACCATCTCCTATGCAATAGTATGATAGTAATCATAGGCAGCCTACTCTGTTTTCCAAAACATGATAATTTCAGCATGTAGATGTGTTTACCTACAAAACCAAACTTGTGGACCTCAAAACGTTCATTTTACCATGACGATTTAAGAAAGAAGATTGTGACCCAATTTTTGATTGTCTAAAGTCCTTGGAGATGAGAGTAGATTGAACAAGATTGGTAGGTGAGGTCAGAGAGGTATTAGGACAGATAATACAAAGTCAACCTGGCTACTGCTGTAACTATCACACCCAATGCTAAGCTCCAAGGATCCATTGGTCTGCCACATGTGAACCCTTGGGTGTCCAGTCACAATCACACACCTATATCAGTTCCTCTTGAGGTCTAATATTGCCAGATGAGTATGACAGTCTATACATTCTTTCACATGTCACATTTAATGGAGCTCCAACTTCTTCATACATTCACTTATTTTAATCTTAAGTCAAATATTCACTGAGTGCCTACCATGTGCTAGCCATTGGACTAGGTGCTGGAGAAACACTCTGCCCTCCTGGAGCTTACACACTAGGGTGGGAAATTAATAAGAGGAAAGTAACAAACAAGTGAATAACTCCTTTGATAAGGACAACGAAGCAGAGAGCGCATATGTCATAATGCTGTATAACCTTTTCCTTATAATGAATTTTAATTATTCTGCCAGTAATCCAAGACAGCATTATCTTCAACAAAGCCAAACTCCTTTGAGGCAATCACAGAACTTAGGTACAGTGAAATACAGCTCTCAGTTCACTCTAAGCATGATTATCAGTTGAAGCCTGCAATACAAAGTGTGCGTGAGTATGTGTATTGGAAAGAGGTAGGAAGAAATGGGCAGCTAGGGGATGAGCTTCAGGAAGACAGAAGAAAAGAAAAAAGGAAGGGTAAATAGAACTAAATTCTTACATCGATTATCAAGGTCATTTTGCTCAATCTTTCAGATTTTAGATTTTTCTAGAATGGGACAATTGGCCTCTCAGAGTAACTAGTGACTGAATACTAATATAAAGACACTGCTTAGTTCACCATCAGACGTTTACCCTTTTCCTTTAGTTTAACTATTTAGAAATGTACTCTCTAATTTTTATTCCTATAGAACATATTTTTAACAATTTATTTTCAGAGTTAAAAGATATAATCCTTCCTCCAAAATTACATGTTCATATATCGTTTTTATGACATTTTCACCCGGTTACCTACCATGTAAGCAAGTAAGAGATTTAAAACAAAAGCAGTGAACTGGCATAATGCAAAAACTTTTCTGACTTCAGTGCCATTTTTGAAGTAGAAATTCTTGGGTCATTCCTTCCTGGCTTTAATTAAATACCGACACCTATTTCTAATCACTTTCAAAATGTTAGGGGGAAAATGCAGAAACCTTTTCTTAGAAAATCCTTCTCTCCAATACTGGGATGCTTTGAAGCCACAAACTCTAAAATAAAGTCATCTTCCCCTCTCCCAATCAATACTTCTAAATAATGGATGTGAACATACACTTAAAAAAAATCCTACCTGGATACAACTCTTACCTGCATCTCTTGACAAAAGGAAGCCAATGGCCCAAAGAGAATCTGACATTGCTCGTCAGCAGTGTATGTCATCTCCGGCAACTTGGAGGGAACCATCACGGAATTGACACTCTGGGGATTTGTCTGTAGCAAGCAGTTACTGGCCTTTGACCTGGCGATATGCAGATATGTGTAACATTTTGAGTTAAACGCAAAAAGTTGTTATAATTAGTTAACACAGCAACAGGAAACATTTCGATACTACTAAAATATGTTCTTACTTTTATTTATAAGCTCTTCTATTGAATGCTCATAGAAATTATCCCATGTATGAGAATCATTTGTTTATAATTATTACGATAAACCTAATAATAAAAAAAGTTCAGATTAACAGGACTTTTTGTTTTTAAAGATCTTTCATATGGATTAACTCAGCTAATCTACATAACACTGTGAGGTGGTTATTATTTTACATATTTATAAGATGAAGAAGCTCAGAGACTAACTTGTCCAAAAGTAATGTATGAAGGTAAGAAATCAACTATATTCTGGGATTTAAGGAATCTATGGAAAGCATTCTCAAGTGACTATTAATAGTGTGAATATTTTTCTACTTGACATTGTACTACAACTTCCATTTATGGGGTAAAATTTAATTTTATCATAGTTCTGATTCATGAGAAGACAACTACACAAAATCCTGCACTCATTAGGACCTACTGAGGGGCTACTGTTGCAGTGACAAAGAGAATGCCCAGACTCTACTGCACATATTTCTGGAAAGAGTTATAGTAATGTAATAAATATATTTTAGTAGATTTTAATATTCATTTGACAAAAAATTAGCTTGACAATTTAAATGGTATGGAAAAATAAATTTGTGTAGTGAATTTAGCTAGTTAGATGTTCCTATATTTCTTACTTAGACTTTTGGATACTTTAAGCATCTCTCACTCACTAATTGGGACTTTACATAACATCTACTGGTACCGTTTCATCTTCCCCTTCTATTACTGAAGGAAAAAGTAAAGAACAGGGCTTTAACATGAAAATTAGAACAGTAATACTTTTTTTCATTTCCTTTTCCAACCAGGCAGAAGCTACGTATTACCAAAGTTGAAGGTTGAAAAGAGGAGAATCAAGGACTATTATAATGGTGAAAACTATGCATTGACATTAATGAAAAAAGATTCAGAGTGCAGAACTACCACAGTGGAAAGGTGGAGCTTTTGTTAAAGAGGTTCTTTATAACAACAGATATAGAAGGATGAACAATGAAAATGTTTCCACTAAGAAATTTTGAAGAGGCAATTAAATATTATGAAAGATTTTTTATCATTATAATAACTTTCAACCTTACAAATCACCTTGCCCATCCTCTTGTTTGAAAGTGTGGAAACTAAGAAACAAGTGGGTTAAATAATATGTCCCAGCTCACACCATGAGTCAGTGGAGAACCAGGAGTGGATCCCAGCACCTTGATTCCTAATCTGGTGGCTGTCCGCCTCTGCCACACCACCCTCCCAGGTTGGTAGAGGAAGCAGGCACACATACACATTCATGACACAGCAACAGCTAGTGACCCCAGTACCTTAGAAATCTTTCCAAATCTTCCTTGCTACATCGGGACCACGAGACATCACCGAGATTTTGTCCTTTAATCCATTCACCAGACATGATATGAAGACCATCAGCACATGATGGGTGGTCATTGTCATGATTAATCCCCATGCTGATTTGGAATATAAAATTTAAAAATTACATTAGATAGATATTTTTAACCTGTTATTATACTTGCAATTAAACAACAGCTAAATAATTAAAATAATGGGAGAGAAATTCGTTTTTATTTTTTATTGAAGTAGAGTTGAATCACAATGTTGTGTTAATTACTGCTGTACAGCCAAGTGACTCAGTTATATATATACACATTCATTTTCATATTCTTTTCCATTATGGTTTATCACAGGATATGGAATACAGTTCCCTCTGCTCTACAGTAGGACCTTGTTGTTTATCCATTCTATATATAACAGTTTGCATCTGCTAACCCCAAACTCCCACTCCACCCCTCCCACACCCTCCCTTCCCCTTGGCAACCACTGGTCTATTCGGAGAGAAATTAGTTTTTTGTTGTTTTTTTTTTAAATTTTTTTTGATGTGGACCATTTTTAAAGTCTTTATTGAATTTGTCATAATATTGCTTCTATTTTATGTTTTGGATTTTGGCCACGAAGCATGTGGGATCTTAGCTCCCTAACCAGGGATCAAACCCACACTCCCTGCATTGGAAGGTGAAGTCTTAACCACTGGACTGCCAGGGAAGTCCCAAGAAATTAGTTTTAAAGGTCAACATAACATTAGATTTCAGACTGATTTATTTTTAAAATTTTATGGTCTATATTAAAGGTCAATGTTTTCACTTAGTAAAAAACATTCTCCCAATCAATCTAGTAAATAACATGCTTAGTTCACCTGTATCAAAATGATCTATAGATATATTTTTGACATAGTAGCAGGTATGAAGCACATAGAAGTGGTAAGTTTCTATTCAATCACACTAGATTCTTGCTCTTGCCTAAAGATCCTTTATTCATTCCTTTTATCAAATCCGAAAACACATTAAAGTATTATTTTTCCTCAAGTGCTTCACGAGATAGTCTTCCTCCACTCATCATAAAACACAAACTGTCCCTGGGAAACCTGAACACTCTCGGCCATCTTCATCTTTTCTACTGAATCCTGAATCTGTTGCTCCAAGTTGTAACTCTATTCTAAAACTCTGACTTATCTTCTGATGGACGTATTAGAAGACTGTTAAATTCAGTATGTCTAAAAGCTGCCCTTAATATTTTCTCTTTCAAACCTCTATGTACTCCTGAATTCTTTTTCTCGCTTGTTCTCTTTTGTGTGCCTTTGCTAGCCCAAGAATCTTCAGGTCATCATTTATTCCTTCCTCTCCCAAATTATCACCCAATTATTTACTAATTGTTAGGGGCAAGCCCTGCTAATCTACTTTCTAAATATTTCTTTCAACTGTTATTTCCTTTCAATTCCTTCTGTTACTATTAAAGAGGATTATAAAAATATTTAATCCTGAAAATTACTATGGCATTCTGAGTGGGTTCTGTGCTTCTAATCTTTGGCAACATTCTCCCTTTTCCTCCTGCCCTGCTCCAGTAAGATCTATTTAAAAACACAATTGCGCTGCCTTTCGTCTGCTTTTCCATTACCTATATAGGAATTTCCAGCTCCTTAACATGGTACACAGTTTCTTAATCTTCTTCCAAGCCATTTATTGCATTTCTTTTCAGCAAGAGCAAATGACCTGTAGTTTCCCAAACATTATGTTGTTCCTTATTCTCTTGCATTTTCTCTGTGTCATATACCATTAAAAAGGGGCTTATAAGCTTGAATTAAACAATTCTATGAGGTAGGAACTTTTATAATACCCTTTCTTCTGATGAGAAGTAACTTTCCCAAGGTCATACAACAAGAAAGTGGAAAGTAGTGATGTTTGAATTGAGGAGTCTGGCTCTAGAATCATGTGACTAACCACTGAAGTCCATTCCCTCCCTGACCCTGTCCAAAGTGCCTTGCCTTCAACACCTTTCCCTGGATAAATTCTACTTGATCTTCAAGATTCACGTAGATTACTTTCACAAGGTTTTCTTTTACTAAACTCCCACCTCACCTACGGGTACTGTCTCTGTTTTCCCAACACAGGATTCTGTGAACAACATTACTACAGTGTTTTCTACATTGTACTGTATGTTTTTACTCTTGGTTATCTCTCCAGTTTCTTGAGGATAGGAACTTACTCATTGCTCTAAGATCCTGGCATATGGGAACCATACTCTATAAATGGTATTTAAATGTTGAACCAAGTCAGCATGTATTGGGATTGGCCAAAAAGTTCGTTCAGGTTTTCTGCAAGAGGTTATGGGAAAATACGAATGAACTTTTTGGGCAACCCAACAGAATCACTTCTATTGCAGTAAAAGTTGCATATAATCTCCTATGAATTCTCATAATGAGGACATTAAAATAACTGTTTGTGAGAGAGTTAATACTGAAGAAGTAGAAAGAGGAAAGCTTGGTTTTGCACATGTTAAGTTTGAGATGATGGCAAGATAGTCCAATGCTCCCTTTTCTCATTGTGTAATGATCTAGATAATAAATAGTCTTTGAGAAAAATTTTGTGAACAGGAATATATATGTGATATTTTAAAATACTAATAAAAGAATATTGTTATAGAAGTTGCTAAAGGAAATTACAACTATACTACCTATATTTTCTCATATGAAAATGAAAATTTTCAAGACTATTGAACTACATTTTTGGTTAAATAAACTAAAGATTTAAATCAAAATGGTTAGATTTAATGTTTTTGAAAGAAGAAAATGATATAGATGGAATTAATTAATTTATGAAGAAGAGTAATGAATTAAAAGTTCATTATGTTTGCTAACTTGAAGATTATGGAAATTATATAAATAAAATTTAAAATGTACTGTTGAATATCATCCTTCACTTTTAGTGTTACAAAAATTCACCTATATGATACACCATATTTCTCTTTCCTCGTCTAACTAATGTCCTTAAATAGGGTTTGTATCAATACATATTAATAGAATGACTGACAGAGAGAACAGGAAGAAAAATGTTTTCATACTTTGAAGATAAAGAGAAAAAGTAAGACATGATAATGGAGTAGGTAGGGGCCAATTCACTTACTGAGGGCTAGAGTGAAAGACGTAGGAGTTAGATTTGAATCATGTATCTCCCCCTTATTCATGTGACCAGAGGCAATTTAAATAATAATAAAGGAATAAATGTGCCTCAGTTTCCTCATCTGTTAAATATACTTTTCTGACTGGTTGTGAAGGTTACATGAGGATGATATAAAATGCCTGGCACAGTGCCTGCAATATAGCAGGAACCCATAACCTTTTTTTTTTTTTTTTAAACTGGGGCAGTAAATCAGAGAAGTTTTATCCTATCTCTCTAATTTGTCAAAAAAACACAGAGATAACCATCATTAAAGGCAATCTGCTGTATTGGCTGACTTTCATGAAAGTGGGGATTTAAGAAAAGCCAAGTAAATAATAATGGCAAGAAGTTACTTTGTCTGAATGTTAAACTAAAATAAGAAATTGTAAATATGCCACAATCTCCCAGATTGATAAAGACGCCTAATGCACTGACTGTACAGTTCCAATGCCGCTCCTGCCTGCATCACTGTTTCACCTCCCCCAGGGATTCTGGCTGCAGCACACATTGCCGGGTGACCCTGTTATAACAACAGCCACTTGCCATGTGGAACATACTCAACTCTTCCATCTGTGGTGGTGCAGTCTTTCAAACCATACACAAATGCTATTATTTTTGAAAGGCAACTGGTCCTTTTCAGAAATAATAAAACTTCTTAAATAATGTGTCCATTTGAGAGAAGGAGAGGGACTCCTTCCAAGATTTAGCAATTTGGACATTTTCCCAAAGCAGTGTAATGTTATTTTCCAAATTGGGAAGATTACAACTTCTCATGCAGATGATCATCTTCCTTTTGGGATCCTGATTCTCATGTACGAAATTAGCTACAGCCATGGAGAGATCTGGTGATACAAGCATTGTTTACCATTAGTTAAATTTTCCTAAAGCTATTTAACTTGTAACAGAAGTTATCATTAAATTGGGACAGGGCTTTTTTTTTATAACCACACATCTGGAACTATCAGGAGACACTGCTTAGTACTGATCCTACAGATTTGAAATAAAACAACTGTGAACCTTTATTTGCGCCAGTCACTATGTTAATCATTTACAATGATGATATCATTTAATCCTCACAATACCCCCAGAATGTTTCTGTTATCGTGACTTCTATCTTACAGATTAGGAAGGTGCTGAGGTTAATAGCAGAGCTGTGACTCAGACCCAGGCAGTCTGATGGGTCAAAAGAAGTGAACGTTAAATCACCAAACTATAGATCAAAAGTATCCATTTACATATAAGGTTTATTTTCTGAATAATTTTAAATGTCTCCTCTCTGTTAGCAGAAACACACCTTCACATATACAGTCCCATAACCAAGTCGCATGCACTGCATGGAAAACATTCTCGAAGTAAGACATTAGCAACACCTCTCCTCACACTGTGCAACTGAGCTACATTTTAATAATCTCAGTTTAAATTCACTTTGAGAAAGAGCCTTGGGCAAATAAACTCTCCACTAACATTGTACATGGTTGTCAAGTCAACTGAGAAAATATTTTTATCTTATAAAACTTCTCAACTTGTTTAAAAGTCTCTGCCAGGAAGTTTTGTGATATCCTGCGGAAAGCTGGAGAAGCATTTGGATTTTGAAGATGGTCCCTTTTGATGTTCAAAGAGTCAGAGAAGAGAACATTTATGAATTCACTCACATTTTTTGGGTAATTTGGAAAGGATCCAATTTGTCAACAGTCATATTTTAAGAGAGTAAACTTTTTTGTGCTGAATACATTAAACATTTTGTCACAATATCTTATTTTCCACTAAAAGCCATATATTATATAGAAAAAATTAATTTATAAAAGGAAACAAACTATCACAAATGACACGTAATTTCATACCATTCAGTGGCTATATCTGATTTGATGTAACTTCACTCCTGTGTACTCATGGAAGAAAGCCCAACATTAAGAAATATGAGACATTTTCACTACTTTTTATATTTTAAATCATTTCAC